AACTGTTGTAAAAAAGTGTAATGAATGAATGAATGAATGAATGAATGAATGATTAAATAAATAAATAAATAGAATCTGAACTATGCTTCTCTAATGCTGCCATCTGGTGTTCATAATTTCAAAACATCTTTTCAATAGTTATCAAATATTTATTTCCATGAGGGAATGAAGATATAAACTCGTTAATGTACAAAGACATTTTCCTTGACTCACTGTTTGAAAATTAAAGGATAAGCCTCCACAAGATAAACACAAATGTGTAGTTAAAAGTGTTGGATTAGGACTTGAGAAACCCAGGTCTGAGTTCCCCATCAAACCATGTCATTCACAGGATAACATTGGGGTAGTCACTCTTCCTAGCTTGACGTACATTTCAAGACTGCTTTGAAGATAAAAATAGGGGAATAGGCAAATTATTGCACTGGAGGCTAGGTGGGATATAAAAAGAGCAAAGAAAAAAATAAATAATGTTAAAATGAAGTGTCTTGATAATAGGCAAATAGGCAGCAATTCACATAATCCTTTGGGGAAAAAAGGTGAATGTGATGATAGTGGTGGAAGATGGAGAGGAAAGTAGCTAGGATGAATCAGATGGCAAAGATTTATCCCAAGTGTTAAAATACATACTAAGTAAAATGTAAAGAAGAAGCAAGAGTTCAAATAGCCATCTCTGTTTCAGCAGGTCCATTACAGATTCATGGTTTTTGGATTAAATCTCCCAGAATTCTGGGAGATGTAGTTAAACACCCATACTTCATAAGTACTTCTTCATTTCCATCAATCCCCCATTTTCTATAAGAAACCCCATTAGCTGAAATGTCCCATGCCCACTCAAGCATATAGTGATATCATCATGCTCTGGTTGCTAGGTAGCACTTATGGGGAGAGGGGGCCATATTCCCTCACAGTTACCATGGAATCTTCAAAGAGGAGCACTTGAAAGAGACACAGCAGAAGTAACATTTAAAGCTGGGAAGTGGACCGTTTCCATCATTGTCTCCGCAAGCTCCACTACAGCCCTTAAAAAGAATCTCGTTATAATTTTAGGCATACATTTGAACTTATTTCATCTTGGAAGCTTCCCATTAGCCAAAAAGGCTTAATAATAACAACAGAAACAGCAAATTGTATTGATAAAAATAATGCTGCTATTAATGGTTACATTTACAAATACTGCTTAACATAGTGCTCAGCCAACATGGGAGGTGAAACAGGATAGGTTATTAGAGGTGAACTGCTCAAGTTAAGAGTTAGTTCTTATCACTTCAGTAAAAATCCTTTGGTGCTTGGACACCTTTTTCAGGACTGTTGAACTTGTGGACAATACTAACCTCAGCTGCTCAAAAGATGAGTTGGTCACACTGAAAGTATCCACTATCTATGATATGTTTTTTACTCTGTGTAAGAATAAGGCCTGGACTGCTCAGATGGCTGGGGCCATTTCACATTGTGAGTCCCCCTTGTTTTTTGAGAAGAGGAGTAAGAATTATTTTGAAGTAAAGAATGATGTGCATTATTTTTTAAATTCACAGAATGCATGACAGTATGACACTTGGCTGCGGTGGGGCCCAGGCCAAGTGGCCCTCCCCCACCCCCCACTGGGTCTGGAAATGATCTGTAAGAGATCCATTTGAAGTGATGCCAGGTGTGGTAAAAAAAAAGATCTGCAGGACAGAGTGCTTTGTGTTTGCTGTCATAGATAAAATGGGTTTCTGGCATCTTCACAGGCAACTTTAGAGTAGCCATTCTTAATGGGGCCATATGGTCCCCTGAGGGGCCCTGGCACATCTGAAGGGGCCTACAGACTGGAAAGTTATTCACACACCACCTTATACGGTTCATTATGCAACGTATACAATATTTATGTTATATTGTGTTTATGGCCATGGCCAAAAAAAGGCTGAGAGCACCTAACCGTAGATCTCTGGCACATAAAGTACAATGTTCAGAAGAACAAACTACCCAGTTTACAAGCTATGCTAAGCACCTGGAATTGTTTTTTTTTTTTTAAAGCATTTGTTCATTATCCTTCTGCACACCAGGGCTCCCAAGGCACACATACAGTACCTTTTTCCCACACACATATGATACTGTATTTAAATTGGACCTATGTTATTGTTGGCTTTTTAGCTATAATAAAATAGAACCTCTAATTTGCAGAATTTGCACACAGCAACTTGAAGCATATTGATAAAAACCAATTTGTAGATTAAAATTTGATTTTTGTGTGTACCAGCAATTGATATTAAATAATCACTTCTGCTTTTGGTTAAAACATTCAACAGTGCTTACTTAAAAACATATGTATAATATAACATAATTCATAGTGTGTAGGCATTTGGTATTTGTCATACATATTGTTCTTGCCTTATTGGCAGACATATTTTTGCTACAAATAACTAACTCTCACATTGTTACACTATTACATTTGTAAGCCCTATCTGGCCCTATCAAATTCTGTCAGTTACATCTTTATTCCTGATCACCATCGCATATTTTAGTCCTTGCTACATATTGGACCCTGTCTGTGTCACATATTTATTCCTATCAGAGTTATGGTACATATTGTCTGACAGACTAGACTTCTAACTGACACCTACCTTATATAGCTGCCTGGCTGATTTCAGACACATTCTGATTGGTCAGAATCCTATTCTATGCAAATACAATATTCTGGTTTAAAACATATGTAAACATACATATACACATACACATACAGTGTTGTATAATTATATATATCAACAATTTTTACTTCAAGCAGAACACATGCCAATATATTTTTCTAATATATATTCATTTAAAATTGATACAAGTTTTGAATATAATTCTGTATTAAATAAAGGTATTAAAATTAATAATAATAAAAAAACTAGAAACCCATGTGCTAGTCTTAGCCGGAGCAGCCATACTAAAACGAATGGGACTCAATAATAGATCTTTGCAGCTCTGTTCCAGGAAGGATTAATATTGGATTTAGGCCCATGTTTTAATGAACGGATTTTAACATAACATAATGGGCTTGAGTTAGCATTTATTTTAATTTTATTATTTGGACAGTACCATCAATTGTAGTTAGATCAAATCCTACTGCAGTAATCTTAATGCAGTAAACTGTGTATATACACACTACTAGCTCCTGCACTTAGCTAGCTGTTTGTTGTGTAACTGATTGGACCACCAGATGTGCATCAGGTAGCCAGCAAAATCCTTCTCAACACTTGTATGACTGTCCTTATCTAAACACATAAGCAACAGGAATCTTGCCTTCAGTAACAAAGAAAACAGAGCTGTGTTCCAAGGTGTTAACATCTATGCTGCGCAGACTGTAATTCTAAACTTATTCATCAGGAAATAAATCCCACTGAAGTGAAAGAGATTTACTCCACTGCAGACAGTGTAGAAATGTATAGTAACAATTATTTTAACAATGCTAGCTTGGAACTGCATTTTGCTCATCACACATTGAGTGTAACTATTTTTTTAACAACAGGCAATCCTACTGCTAAATATGCAACTCATTCCATGGATTTTTGAACTTTATTTTTATTTATTTATTTAAAATATTTTACCCCCACCTTTCGCCTTAAAAAGGAACCACGGTGGTGTACATAATTAAAAGACAATATTTAAGGCTAAAAAGAGTAAGCATAAAAATACTTCAAAGGATCAAACAAATATCACACAAAAACGACACCAAAATCACATTGAAAGCAGTAAGGCCCAACAATCCATTAAAAAAATCCACTCAGGCCAGTCACTAAGAGAAAGAAGAGACATGGTCCTTGAGATAACTTTGATCCAAACTGTTTATTATGGCTTTATATGTTTATACAGTATTTCTTCTCCATAACTCTCGGCACCAATGAAGTCCTGTGTGGAGTCAACAGGTAGTCTATGTTTGTCATATTTAATGACCTAACGAAAGTATCATCCACTTTTGTCTTTGGATTCCAAGGACTTTCCTCTTGAATAGAATACTGTAAGTGTCTAAATGGGCATTAAGCGTTTGCTTACTGAGCAAAGTAATTATGATAGAAGTAACAGGAGTACTCAAATGGTACTTCTGAGTAGTCAGTCATTCATGGTTTTTTTGTATATACTTGTGAATTAGATCTAAATGAAGAAATTAATCCAATATTTAGAATTTACCACTTCATTACAAAGTGCACTATCTAACTGCTAATTGTTTTGCTCAATGTGAAGATCACTGTACACGCCAAGGGGCGGTCGGGTTAGTCTGTTGCCACATAAACAGCAGAGACTTGTGGCACCTTTAAGACATTAGCAATTTATACCATTTGTAGTCGCTGCAAAGAGATAGTTCCCACTTTTCAAGTACCGTAACGTCTGCTATCGTGTGTCCTCCCTTTGCTTCTAATTTATGGCGAGCCTATGAAATGTTTGCGTTCTTCCAACCGCAGGCAATGTAAAGGACCTCCAAAAGGCCCTTATGATCACCAGCAAACTCAAGGCTGGGGCTTCCTTGGTGGAGTCACTCCATCTCACTCTGGGTTGCCCCGCTTTCCCCGGCATTACTGCCTTCAGCGGATCATGGTCTTCACATCCTGCGCCTAAATTTTACACATTCAGCCATCGTTGCCTCTAGGGAGTGTTCAGGCTTGATGTGATCCGGCACCGTCTCATTCAATGCTTGTCTCTGTCCTCGGTGGGTTGCGGGTGAATCGAGCCGCCTGCAAGGGCGCCCGACCGACTCTCTCCGGGGGGGCAAACGGCCCCTCCACGAAGCCGAAGGGGCGGGCATGCGCGGTAGGGTTCCCGCATCCCTCCGGCCTCTTCCTGTTCCCGTTGCTAACTGGCCGCCTTTCCAGCCAGTCAGAAGCCGCGCAGGAAGAGGCTCCCGTTGGAGGCGGCCTCTGCTGAACCGGAGAGGAAGTAGCGGGGCGGGATTTCCTGAGGTGGTTTGTGGTGGCGTCGAGAGAGGGAGGGCGAGGAGCGAACGTCAAGGCAGACGGACGGACTTGCAGGCACGGGAGGAGGAAGAGGAGGAGGAGGAAGCGGCAGGGGCAGGCCCGTCCTCTGGGCGCGGTGTAGCGGGGGTGGCGGGCTGGCCGGGCCTGGCGCGTTTCAGCCGTCGACATGCCTGGGATAGACAAGCTGCCCATCGAGGAGACGCTGGAGGACAGTCCTCAGGTAAGGGGGGAGGGAGGGAGGGAGGAGGAGTGTGTGTGTGTGGAGGGGGGGAGAGGACACGGCCCAACTCGGGCCCTCGATGCCAGGCAGGCAGGTTGTGGAGGGAAGGCTGCCGAGCCCGCCTGGCTCCGGTTTCCTGCTCCGGAGAAGCCCGCTCATCCTCTGACTCCAGCTGTACGTCGCCACGGCGAGCATATCGCGGAGACTCCGGTTGCTCCCGTCGCATCCCGGGAGCTGCTCCTCCGGGCGACAAGGGTGGCGGGAAGGGGTTGCCAGAAGAAGCCCCAGAAGATCTGGCAGAAATCATGGCTCTTCCATACGGGCTGATTCTTGAGAGAATGGCTGACCTCGGGATCCTCTCTTTTCACTTGCCATTCGCCTCTGAAAACATAGGCAGGGCATGTTTCTTGGACACAGGGCGGCCAACTTGAATGCTGTCCACTGCTGCCCTTGATGTTCTTGTGCTTTTAAGGTGTCGAGAGTGATCGTATTAAAAGGGAACTAGATCTGGATGTAGTCTGTTCCTGTTCTAATGTTGTGTAAGGATTTAAATTCCTGCCTCAGTTTCCCCACCCCACCACACCCTTCTCTGATGTTAGGAAAACACATAACCCTCCCTCTGCTGTGCTTGTCTGTAACTCTGAAGTCATCATTTTGGGTACAGGGTTGAATTGCCTTCCAGTGCAACCAGTTCAGAGGTTAAACTTTATATATATGCATGTCATAAGCTATTTATGTTGTGTTGTGACCTGATAGGAATATTTGTATTTTTGAGTAGATGTTTCAAAGTTTGCTCACTACAATACAGTACTGGCCCAGATTAGTAACTTCTACTAATATTAAGAACATGTTGGTTCAGGTAAATAGAAGGTTAATTCTCCCCCCCCCAAAAAAGTGAAGACACATAAGATATAATAATTTAGACTCCTTGTTTCATTTACCAAGCATCACTATTGTGTCCTGGCTGGAATGCGATGATGCTGGATGGCATCTCCTGCTTTCTTTGGAGATTTGACTTCACTGTCTAGGGTTTTCCTGTGCAGCATATTTTAAGCGAGGAGATTTTTTTAAACACTCCTTGTGATTTGTACTACCAATCTGTTTGAACACAGTTTTGCATTTCTCTTTTTATGATTTACAGGAATTATGTTAGTGTGCATATGTCATAATAGATAACTGTAACTTTGTTAAATTTGCCTTTACACTGCCATTTGGGTGCAGTGGTTGTAGTGTAATTCATGTTGACATGGCACCAGTACTGTAATAGTTCACGGGAGGTTACTTGTGATTACGATTGAAAGTGCAGTTTTAGGCAAATTCATTACACTCTTTTGCATTGCATGGTATTTTGGAGAGTTCTGTCAAATCCAAGAGTTTTTAATGTTATGCATATATCTTTCCATTCAGTGCCTCAAATATCAGCTTATTATGGATATATCATATGTGTATCCAATTAATTGTCTTAGCCAAAATATTAATAGAATTATTAGGGAGCACCGAAGAATGAGGTTTGTCTGTGTTTTTATGAGCTGTAAAGTTGCTTCTCCCTTAATGACCTTCAACAGGCCTGCTGAGGTCTGGAAATTCAAGGCCATGATTTTCTTTACTGACTCAATCTGTCTCCTAACGGGTTTTTGGACAGAAGAGTAACTAGTAAGTATTTTCAGTAAAAAAATAAACTATCACAGTCTACGAATTGAGCTGTTACACTAAACAATGTTTTACCACAAATTAATCAGAGTGTGCAAGGGAAGAAAGGAGTACTATTTTAAAATCTCTGTATTGTAATACCAAACCATAGGTCGGCATAATAGTGAAGTGATTCAGTGTCTTGGGTAGTTTTCGCTGGAAATGCTCTTGATAACTTGTATAAAATGTATATGAAGAGTATTGAAGACATGGACTGAAATCCTGTTGAGTAACTCTGTGCATCTAAAGGATGGTGATGTCATCAGCCATGTTGCTAACCTTTAAAGTCTCCTATTCCCCCCTTCCTACAGATTTCTTTTGACCTGGGGGAGCCTTTAATGCATGAAAATCATCACAGCTAGGATTGGCACTAGCAGCACCAATTTTCAAGCATTGAATGCTCCCCTCCCCTCAACTTAAGGCTCCCAAAGACTTGCCCATGGGAGTTTCAGAACTAGGGGAGAGGAATAGGAAACTTTGAAGATTAATAGTCATGGCCGATGACATCAACATCCTTTATATGAATGAAGTCACTCAACAGAATTTCAGTCATAGTGCTTTTATCTGCACATTATTTTTTTAATGTTATTATACTGTATTATAATAATATATTATACAATAATAAAATATTATATAATGTATTTTATTTTGTTACACTGAAAAGAAATTCTGTTAGTAGCAATGTGTTCACTTAATGTCCAATTTCATGTTGTTTTTACTATGGTTAAGTAGACGATATAATGAAGAAAGCAAGACATTAGTATGGATTGCTGTTCAGTTCTTGCCAAGAGGAGTAGTCATACCTTTTAGGTCAGTACCTTGCCAAAACCATTAAGTGATCATGTTGTACATAGGTACAGGCAGATTGGTAAAAGGTTTTGCAGGATTAGAATCTGCAACATAAATGACAGGTTGTTATAATGAGAAAAACTTTTGCTGTCAGTTAATTTCTGAGAATATCTTTTAATAATTTGTGAGCCACTTTGTGTCCTGCATTTGGGAAAAGGGGCCTAGAAATAGAAAAAGTAAATAATAAGGTTTTGTGTGTGAGAGTGTTTTGTTTTTTTTTAGTAAAGTGTGTAACCAGCTGAATACAACCGAGCTAGTTTAATGTGACACACTGTTCTAATATGCTTAAAACATGTCATATCAGTGTGGAATAACTTGTAAGCATGGCAAAATTAAGCTCGTCACTAGATATTAAGACTTTTGGCACAGTAAATTTATATCTATTTGCATGAACGGTGTGAGTGGTGTTAAAACTTTCTGTTTTCAGGAGGAAATTGCCCTGTTAGTTTGCTGGTGAGGAACCTCTGCAGAGAATCCTAGGGATATTTTAGAGTTTAGAGCACACAGTTAGTTCACAAAGAAAGCTGTTTAGTCCTGTGAAGCTTTGTTGTAGTATTGAGAGTACATACTAGAACATGCCAAATGATTGCTGTGGGTGGATGCTGGGGGAAAGTAGACAGTAAGAAGAGAGCAAGCTTGTCCATTCTTACTGATCTGATAGAGGAATATTTCATAAGTTTTGAGGAGCCCCAAACAGGACCTTGGAAATTACTCTAGCCATTGCACAATACTGTGGGTACTACTGTTGATAAGATTAAAAGCAAGATTTGAGTATCTCTCTTTTCTCTTGAGAATGCATCTCAAAAACATGGAGAAACAATGACTTTTTATGCAAAGGAAAAGGGGAAAATAATCATAGTAATGTTAATTTAAGGTGAACAAAATCATTCTGGAGGAAATCTAAAGTGCAGAAGCACTTTTCAGGGTTAAAAAAAATCTCTCTAGAGCTTCCATGTGAAGGACTTCCAAATAAGGCATATAGATTACAGTATTTATTTTGTTACAGCAGTGTGTGCAAGTGACTCCAGCTTTTTAAAAATTCCAGAAATACATAAGCCACAGATTTTTAAAAGTGTTATCAAGGAACAGGGCCTACAGGCCCAAAACAGAAGGTGGAACTAAAAGGTTCAGCCAGATGAAAGATCATGCTGGCACCAAAAAGCTAATGTAGTTGATATATAGTCAGTCAATGTGCCTCACAATTGGAACACTACAAAGAAATTTCTCTTAATTAACCAACCACCTTTCTTCAGTTACCACTTTAGCATCTGACTCACTTCACAGCATGGACAGATGGATGGCTTCTGGACTGTATGAAGCCTGCAGGTCTATTTTTGCTCAGAAAATTCCTGGGAGCATGGGGGCAATTTTGCCATGTGTTGAAGAAATCAAATGTCAGCTCTTTTAAGAATTTTTTTCCACTGTGGATACAGGTGGACTTCCTCATTTTTTAAAAAGGCTAAACCCATTTGCAGTTAGTACAAGCATATTTTTAAAACAATAACAGGCAAATTAGGTTTCCCCCTTCCCACACACACCCTTCCTCTTTAGTTCCATGCCCTTTTGGAGCATAGCCGTTGGCCTGCAGGAAAATATGAAACATGGTTACCAGTCATGCTGAGATCACCAGTCCCTGCGTTAGATTCATGAAGAATTGAGAGAAAGGCCTCTAAGAAAGAATCTGACATTTGGGCATTCTGCTTGCATCTCTTAGTTACTGTTTGCCATCTACATATCTGTCACTTTAATATGGTAACACTTATATCTGAGATAAAGATTATTTTCTGTTAGAGTGCAATAGCTAACAAGTTCTTTAAAAGTGTAACTGGTGTTCTTGCTTCCTCTTACTAAATCCAGTGTTTCAATATTTTGTTGTTGCTGCTGTTATAATTTTGTTGAAAATGAGGTTTTTTTTCATGAAAGCAGATTCTACATCATTAAGAATAATGTGGATTATAAATATTTTAAAAGTAACCAAGTATCTTGTACTTCATATTCTATAACAGGTCTTGTCTGTTATAGAATGTGAAGTAAAGGAAGTCAGGAAATTCGGAAAATATCAGTTCAGGAATTAGTTGCAAGATGTGCAGTGGTGCCCCGCTTAGCGATGTTAATCTGTGCAGCAAAAATAGCTGCTAAGAGTTTTCATCGCTAAGCGATATTAAAAAGCCCATAGAAACGCATTAAAATGCCATTAATGTGTTCCTATGGGCTTAAAAAATAACCTTAAGCAAAAATCCTCCACAGGGGCGGCCATTTTCAGTGCCTCTAAAGCGAGGCAACACAGCAGGTGGCCATTTTGTTTACCCGGCGGCCATTTTGGAACCGCCAATCAGCTGGCCGAAAATGGGGCCTTTGTGATCGCTTCCCTGCGATGATCGCAAAGCGAATTTTCCCCATAGGGAACATTGCAAAGCGATCGCTTTTGCGATCACAAAAATATCATCGCAAAGCGATTTCTTTGTTAAATGGAGCAATCGCTATGTGAGGCACCACTGTATATAGAAAAATAACATTGACCAGGATCCAAGTCTTTTTTGCAAAAGTTACAGAGGTCACTTGTAGTCATCCAACCATACTTGTCTGTACAACTGTATGGCTGTACCTTTTGCACAGCAGCACATATAGCCGCAGCATAGCAATCTGTATGGCCTTCTCATGCCCCAGTCCAACAGAAGAAAGTTGTCCAGTGAATTTTGGGCAGAAATTTTCAGTCTGTGTTCTGAGAAGAACACCCATGTAGTGCTTCTATTCAAATTTAGTTTCTGCAGTCAATAAGAAAAAAAGGTTTGTTCTAGATCTAATCTCCACATCCTTAAGTAGTTCATAAACATCAGTATAAAAAGGGGACAGGCACTATAGGTGTTGATATAGAAAAGTGAATGCATTCCTTCTCCGGAGCTGAATGTTGCATCACAGGCATGAGAAGTTGCTATACTGACAGTTTCCAGATCTGTAAACTGGATTTCCTGGTTGCTTTTAACATAATTACTCCCTTTTGTTAGGGTGATGATTGTGTTTGCTTTATAAAAGGCAACAGGTTGAACTTGCAATAAAATTTTGCAGGGTTGGCTATTTCTATTCAGGGTGTGACCCAGCTGGCTCTGCTTTCTTCCAGGATATTGTGTTGTGCCACACCTCATGGGGAGGCAGTATTCTACAGCCACTGAGCATCTATAATATGGACTTGTTGTTTTGCACTTCTTTTTTCCTTCTGATTGTTTTTTTCCTTTAAATAAAGCCTTTCTTGATATTTTCACAAATCTTGGAATTCCTCCAAGCCAGCTGGTATCTCGTTGTTTTACAATAGGATCAGTACTTGTACAGCTAATCTGCTATTAGTATATAGGAGTAGGCAACCTAGTGCCTTTTCTCCTAGTGTTTTTGTATTACAGTTTGTCAGACCATGCCGGCATTGCCAATGGTCAAGGATGATGGAAATTGGGAATTTAGTCTAAACACTTGAAGGACAACAGCTTTCCTACACCTAGAATATAGGATACAGAACAGAAGAATTTCACTGTTTGCCATTATTCAGCAGTACAACCTCACAGCCACCAGAGTTATGTGTTTTGCTATGTGCGTGGTTCTTTGAGCTTTTACAAATGATATTTTAAAAGCCCATACAAATCTTGCTGCTCCGGCCAAAGGGAGAATTAACTTCTCCAGGTCTGTTAGATTGTTCTGCCTTTATGCATTTTAGAAATCAGAGGTCTTCAGGGTCCATTACGTCTAAACCTCAGTGTTGGAGTTCATTTGAAACAGATGGTAGAGTCAGCCAGTTGTACATTTCCTAACTTGGAGGTCTTCTTTTTGCGCACACCTGTTCACACCTGTTGATGAAGCTATTCTCTATAAGTGTCTCACATATAAAGGCAGGGTTAGTTATGGTAGGCAACATCCTGTGACAGTTGATTTATAAGAAATATAAAGAGGTATTTCAGTTTAGACTGTTTCATAGTTAATGAGTTTACTGATAGAGTTCCAGTATCCTGTGAGTGCATTTATTGTTCCTATGTACTTTCTCTGTGCTGCTGCTAATTGTATAAAACCTGTGGGCTGCTCTTGTATATCTGTTTAAAATCTCAATTTTTAACTGATTTGCTTCCTGCCATTTAACCTGTTATCTGTCTGTAAGGCACCATTCTTTTACCCTTTGACTCTTGAACTCCCCCTAGGGATTTTTTTTCAAAGCTTTATGAAAATTCCAACAGTGAAGGCCATCTCCGGTGTTAATGATTGCTAGATGAGCAACATTTTGCAATTGTAATCTTACTGTAATTTACTATTTAGCTTTATATTTATTTGTTAGGCTTACCATATTTTTCCACGTATAAAACTTTTTGCTAAAATAATTAGAGAAAAAAATGAAAGGCATGAGGAGGAGGTGGAGACTGAGGCAAAGAAGCAGCTCCTCTTGCGGCTGCCATTGATTGCTGCTCTGCCTCCGGCAAGGGTAAAAATTAGGGGGTCATCCTGTACATTGGGGGGGGTCATATACATGGAAAAATATGGTAATTAAGTACAAAATTTCAAATTCATTTTACCCTGGATTTAGCCATAGTTAATTATTTCTAACTGCTACAGAGTAGAGCTGAACATTTATCCCAGTTTAACATTATGAGTAAAAATCAGTTTATGGTAACAGAGAGGTTGCTTTTACGAAGAAGAAGAACCAAACTACACCACTGTTTTGGGAGCATTCTCTTCTGTAGTGTACTCTCACAGTTGCTAAGGGGTGCCTTTGACTTGACAACTAGTAGATATGTGCCAGCTGTATTGCAGAAATTCCTTTTGGTTGTGGATAGCCCACATGTTACATGGAGCTTCCTTGAATCTAACTGAAAAACTGATATACTTTAATTATATTGTTATAAGGTATATATTGCCTCCTTTATATTTAGACACGATCTTTGCTGGGTGTGTTTGAAGAAGATGCTGCAGCAATTTCCAGATACGTTGGCCAGTTGTATCAAGCCATGCACCGAATTTATGATGCACAGGTATGGTCAATTCAATGACTATTGTTGGCTACTTATGAATCGTAATTCCATAATTTATAAACAAATGCAGTGACTTCCCAGTTATTTCATTAGCACTCTGTTGGAACATGAGAGATTTTTGTCTTTTTTTTTTGTATTGCTTATTGTTCACTTCTGTTGTGAAGGAAGGTTTGTTTGAAGTTGCTTAACACTTAGGCTTATGCTTGACAATTCATTACACTTGTACATTTTTCAGTAACTTGCTTCTAACCAGAACATATCTAGATTTAAATATGTATGCTCTAAATTTAAATATTGTTACTTTTCATTACCAAGGAGCTGTTTGAATAATTTCTAAATTATATTCTTATGGAAACAAGAGCAGCCTGCAACAATATGTTATCTGGTCATGAGACAGAATATGTTCTACTGCCACAAAATTGTTCAGTGACAATTGGAGGAAGTCTCTTAAATTGACACCCATAAAGGGAGTCAGATCCCAGATCCCTGTCCTTTTCATGCATATCTGGAGGTGCATTACACTAAAGAATATTACATTCTCAGTAAATCCAGTAGACATGATAGGACTCCAAATTTATCTTAAACCCAAATGGCATACCTTCTCTTCACCTCCCAACCTCAGAAACCAATGTCCTCCATTACTTTCATAGCTTTATGAAATTTCTTTAAGAGGAGAACTTTTAGATCAGCATCTGGTGTCAGTAATGGATTGGATGAGGATGAATAAACCAAATCTTGATCCAGACAAGACAGAGGTGCAGATCAAGGAATAGGGTTGCATGGACCACATTAACACTTCCCCAACTCCCTGTTACAGCAACTCCTCTGGCTGCTGATTCATTCTGGGCATGATTCATAGTGCTGATTCTAATCTATAAAGCCTTAAATGGCTTAGGCCCAAACTACTGTATTTTTCCTTGTATAAAATTACACTTTTTAATAAAATCATTAGAGATAAAATTGAGGGTCGTTTTATACATGGAAAGAGGCAGAGGAGCAGCTGTGCTTGGTCTCCTCTCGTGGCTGTTCATTGACTGCTGCCACCGCCACCAGATCGCCTCCTCCAGCGCCATTCCTTTGGGCAGGAGACAAGGTGGCAACATGAGCTGGAGGTGAGCCCCAGCACTGGCACTGGAGGAGGCAGTTGGGTGGTGGCAGGCGGAGGCAAAGGAGCAGCGCGCTGGGCCGTCCCTCACAGCTACCCATTGACTGCTTCTTCACCACTGGCAAGGGTCAAAATTGGGGGTCATCTTATATATGGTATCTCAAGGACCATGTCTCCCTTTATGAGCTTGCTTGGGTGCTAAGATAATCATGGGAAGCCTTTCTCTTGGTCCCACCACAGATTTGTTTGTTAGGGACATGGGAGAGGGCCCTGTTCACCTAGGCTCTGGAATTTCCTCCCACATGAGGCTAGGCTGGTTCCATCTTTGTTGTTCTTTTCCAAGCAGACAAAGACCTTTCTCTTCAGACAGGCTTTCCCTCGGGGACTGGCTGCCTGAGTGGGATTTTTAAATGGTTGGATGTACCTTACTGCTTTGAATGTTTTTTGGGTATTGCTTTTGTTTGCTGTCTTTTGGTGTGGTCTTTGACTCTTTGCAGTAGTTGTATACTTACTGTTTTCAGCTTTAAATATTGTCTTAATGATATAAGTCCTTTTAAAGGAGAAAGGCAGGGTAAAGATATTTCAAATAAATTAAGAGCTGTTCTTTTTTCCTCCTTCCTCCTTGTTAACTCGCATAGGGAGGGAGGTTCTAAAACAGTAACTGCTCATTCCTTTCAAAGTTACGGGCCTGCCTAATTTATTCTGATAACTCCCTCATTAGGCCTGTGCACCACCAGACCTGGAACTCAGACATGCGTACCCAGTGATTTTTTTAAAAAATAGCCTCTCCTTCAGGAGTAATTGTTTTGGAAATCCTGTGGGTATGGAGAATTTTCCTTTCTTTTATAATCATCATCTTAGAACTGCAGAGCTGGATGGGACCTTTTGGATCATCGAGTCCAGCCCTAGTCAAGGAGGCACAGTGGAAGAATCAAACTTCCAACTTCTAGCGCCCCAGCCGGAGACCTAAAGCACTGAGTTACCCAGTTTTGTTAGTTTTGCTTCTAAGCCAGTTGATTTGAGATTGAGACTGTTATTACAAGCAATGAAGTCAAGTTCTTTCGGAATGATTGATTGCTTATTAAATATTCTCTGTATTTGGTTGTGTATTGTTCTAGCTTAGAAAATCCTAATATTCACAACTATTGTTTCAAAAGAGCTAAATTGTTTTGCTCTTTATTTTATCTATGTTTATGTTTGATTTCTTGTTATTTCTGTTTAATTTTATCAATTGTTAACCACCCAGAATAGTACCTTGCATTAATAAGTGCAGTATAAAACACCAATAAACAAAATAGAGGATAATGTATCAGAAATGCCAAACTTAATTTTAGAAGTACATAAGCATCACTGATCATGATTAGATGTTCAAATATCATGTCTTTACCATTCCTTTGTAGTCTTTTGGTATATTTGTGCAGTATTTATCACTATCAGTGCAAAACAGGGAATACTTCTCAGTCTTTTTCTTTCCCAATCAGAATGAATTGAGTGCAGCAACACATTTGACTTCGAAGCTACTGAAAGAATATGAGAAGCAGGTACAATTGTCTTACACAGTGAAATATGATGTTTATGTTCTGATGAGATTTCCCAACTTTTGTATAGCATTTATATATTTTAGTAGTAGCCTAACATACAGAAAGGAAGCAGATGACATTTTGTCCTTGTTTTGTTTCTATGCAATGGGGAGCTTTGTTCCTTTCGTTTCTGCTTATCACGATGTTAAAGGCACAAGAATGGAACAGTAAATAAACCACCATTCCAAGCAGTAGAGACTGCCATGAATAAGCAAATAAATGTATCTATGTCAACACCAACAGATATAATTTAATGCTTGCATAGTTCAAGTAGATACTTAAGAGCTTTCTTGTAAAATATAGTTTGCTAAAATTAGTGATGTTTTTTCTTTTAGCCCAAGGAGGGACTTGAAAATACTTTTCTTCTCAGCCTTTGTTGTCTTCTGATGTTTTGGTTCTTTTATGTATCATTATATATGTAAATTTTATGTCTTTGGTGTGTGCTTGTAAATATTTGTAGTAAAAATCAAATTAAGTCAATTTCTATTGTTGTTTGTTAGCGCTTCCCTTTGTGGGGTGATGATGAAGTTATGAATTCTACTCTCCAGCAATTTGCAAAAGTGATAGATGAGGTAAGGCTGTGCGTTATTACTCTAGATAATCTTGATGTTCTCTCTTTAGCACTGAGTTACCCAGTTTTGTTAGTTTTGCTTCTAAGCCAGTTGATTTGAGATTGAGACTGTAAATGAAAGTTGGTCGAAAAACTACAAACCATACTGATTGTTTCCATCAGTCCATTTCATAGCAAATGTTTTGTTAAAATGCTTCTTCTGATGCTTTCAGTAAACAAGGCTTATATCCCAATTGGATTCTTTAAATTACGTGAGGCCTACTGTTGTTTCAAAGTGAGAAGAGATATGTTCTTCTGTTGCATACATTAAAGTTTATGTAAGAGTAACTTCCCATTTGCCATTCATTGTTGGTGTTGTAATTGTACCAGAGAGCCTTGTTTAGGACTGGCGCCCATTGTGCTGCATGCTGTAGTTGAAAGCCAAGGTATAGATCCTGATAAATTGAAGGAGGATAAGTCTAGTGATTATGTTCTTTCAACAATTCCATTATGTAGCTGAAGAAATAAATAGTTTCATTGTTGAGGATGGTGCAGGCAGCTGTTAGTTAAGGCAAGGATGTTCACAGTAGTAATAATAATAAATGGATTTTGGTTTCCTGAATGAATGAATCAAATTAAGGAGCCACATTTTTAATGAGATATGTGATTGAAATATGACCCTTTTTTGCTTTTTATAGTAATCAAACAATCAAAAAAAGACTATCCTTGCTCAATAGTCTCATTACCAATCCTATGCAATTTGCTACATTTAAATTAAACGTGAAAACTAGAAAGGCCAACATTAATTAGCTACATTAGTTGAAAAAATTGTATGTTTTCCTTAAAGTCTATGGGATAGTAAGTGTTCTGTAAACAGTGAGTGAGAAGGGGGACAAAGGATATAGGCATGAAATGGAAGTAGATTTGAGAAGCAGCAAAGACCTGGAAGAATGCAAGCACTGGAAAGCAGAATATAGAGAAGTAGAGCATATGATAATGTTTTAGAGACTGAAAGGTATTCTTAGCACCTTGTGAAAACTATTGCTTAAATTTGGCACATATTTGGTAGACATCAAGAGTATAATTTAACCACATGTGAGCAGACTTTTAAAATTCTCACTGATTTCAGGTGGGAATATTTACGTAAGCATATGTTCAACTCTTGTTTGAAGTCAGTCACTTGAATGCCTAACTTGTATTTTTTTAACGTACCGTGTGTATGCTAATAGAAGACTGGCAAATTACCTTTAATTGAATTTTGATGTAAAAGCTTTTCCGTGCTTCGAAGTCAGTCATTTTATGTTCATATATATATATATACAGTAATAGTAAGCCATGCTTCCTGGCTTGTTAAGCCACAATATGAGCAAGGAGTGTAATGATACATACATCCCATTTGTTGTTGTTTACTTCTTGCCTCAGTGCCAGTGGGTAAGCAAACTAGGCAATATGATGTCAGTAAGTGCCATAGTGTTTTCCAGGCTGTTTTCCTCTGTGCCAAAATACTTAATTTTTAAAAAATGGAAAAAAAAATAGACTAAAAGGTATTCCTGGTTGCTGGTTGTTGTCTTGATGCATATTTCTATTTCCTTTCTAGTTGGATGATGACCAGCCTTTGGGTTGTCTGGCAAAGAAGGGTGGAGGTGGGACTGTTAGTGGGTGAGCTGTGCCTGAATCTGTTGTGGATTAAAGGAGAAAAGGCAAGAACTGGGGAGCCTGGAGAATGGAATGGAATGGGCTAGGAAGGGAAAAAGAGAGGATGGGAAAATAGAGGGAGGGTAGAAAAGGAACAGATGGAGGTAGAAGATCAGCAGGTAGATTTGATGGAAGCCAGTTTTATTTAAATTGTAATTTAAATTATTGTTTAAATCACTACTCAGAAAGTCTTGATTTAATCATCTGATCCTACCCCTCAAAAAGTGCAGTCTTGCATATATTTTTTTCCTAATACATATTTTTGCCATCTTTTTTGCCCAGGTTGACTCCACTTCCAATAATCCCCTATACATTGACACTTACAATCTGAAAAGTGTACACGGGGAAAGGAGATTTTAAAATATGTGAAGGGTAAAACAAGCAGAAGTCCACCTTTTGCAAGGGAGTTAGATAACTGAATCCAATCTTCTCCTCAGATACATTGCCCTCCTTGTGCAGGAGAGCATTGACACAGAGGGGAGAGGGCTAAGTGCACTTTCCTTTACCTCAGGTAAGTATGCCTGCTTTAATAATGACCGAATAGGGCTAGAGTATCATGTTTGATGGTGAGATGGAGCTCAAACAGGTAGGAGTTGGTTGAGAGAATGTGCCTTCTTCCAAATGAGATTTTGATGGGTAAAAACCGGGTTCAAAAGAGTGCCTTTCTGTTTTGGGGCTTAGGGTCTCACTACTGCTTTGTATTTTTAAGATTATTGAGCAAACTGCTTGTCTTTTGGCTCCTATTAGGGTTTGTTCTGTGTAAAATTAGTGTTCTGGGACTCATTGGCCATTCCTATCGTGGCAGTCATGGCAACCATTTTGTGACAATACTCATAGTAGTAAAACTCAGAATTATGTTTTTTGTAACCCAAAAGCTAGGATCATATGACAGTTTTAAACTTAGGTTTGTGGATAGCTTATGAATCTTGGCTTCTTTAGATGCAATAGACCATAATCCTAGGCTAGAGGTAACCCTTATCAGTTCCTGCTTGGATTGCTTACCCACTTTAGTAAAGGAAGAATGCAGGTTTGCAAACCTGAAGACTCTACCTGCTCATACTATGGTTTAATAGGTAGAAGGTTTTGGCTCACTGGTATATACAAAAATAGCCACCCTGAAGCAGGAGAAATCTCCGAATTTCCAGAGAAACATGTGTATTTATGTGGCTTTTCTTTGTTTAGCTCAGTTCTTGTCATGCAGTACTGTCAACTCAATTAGCAGATGCCATGATGTTTCCCATCACCCAATTCAAGGAAAGAGATCTAAAAGGTACAGTCATTGTAGAGACAATGGTTTATCTAAAGAGTGGTTACTTAGCATCTATCCATGATTTGCTACATTTATGCTCAGTGCAACTATCCATTAATAACAGTTATGAATTATCCGTTTATATCAGACAGCTGGAATCCATAACAAAAGAATACTTTTAAAATTTGAATCAGTGGTATTTTTGACACTATTGTGCCTATGAAAGTGGCGTATTACATGGAAAAGGGAATAATGTAGGAAATTACCTTGTCAGTCTCTGGGCATAAATGTAAAGAAGCTGTGCATAAAGGCTATACTGTATTTGGTGTAAGTGATAAGATTTATTTCTGATAAGCATTACAGATACCCATAGGTAGATATAGTTACAAACAGCCATTGTAGTGACATTTGCCATGTTTAAGGAAGAGCATCCACTCAAGATAATTTGAGTTTGCAACAAACGGTGGCCTTTCCCTAAGGGATAGACTCTTCTCCTTTATGTTGGCAGTTAAAGCCACAGATTGTCACAAAGAATTTGATCATGACTCCTTACAGTATTCCTTTTGGACTTGAACTTAATTTTTAGAGATAGTAGTGGGACAATTCTAAAAATAAACTATCTGTAGGGATGGAGTTTTTGGATTTTTTGGATCACAAATACATAATTTTCTATTCTGGAAGTATTGCCTGCTTTGCAGGCACCTGATAAAACACCTCAGTGTGTTGCACCTGGGAGAAAGGCCTAAATTAGAAGGCTCTGAAGCTTAGCTAGGATGAGGTCCACCCAAGTGTCTTACTCCTGCTTTGCTGCTAGCATGAGTAGGACACTTGGGCAGAGGTAGGCTGCTGAGGTTAAGCCTCAAACCCTAACTATCTGTGTAAAAGTTATAGCTGCTTATTAAACGTCTTGAAACGTAAGCTTGAAATCCAACGCATGCTTGGTATAGTTCTTATTTCTGAGTTAATATGGGTACTTTAGAAGATTGGTTTTCTCTTCTGTTGGTTGTATCCAGTGGTTGCATGTGTAGAGGAAGGTAGCCTGCGTAACTGATCATTCTGTCCTCTTTCAAAAAAGCCTATCCAGAGGTTCTCTTGAATGCTGGTGGCTATGTAATAGAGGGCTATAGAAAGGGCAAGAAAAGAGATTACACTAATTTAGGACAATGCTTCTTTCTCATATCTCTGCATGCTAAATGTATGTTCTAAATTTGCTCAGAGATCCATTTTGCAGCCTTGGAGAGCTTTGACTTCCTGGAGGGAGCCTTGTCTCCTCTTATTTCCCAAACCCCATGAGGCTACCACTAGTTCTGCTTTGACTGACAGTATGGTTGCATATATTACACATGTTCTCTGTGAGCTAGAAGTCTTTATTTGCTTTCAGATACTTCTCTTTCACACGTTTGCCTCACTAATAATATTAGTAGTAGTAGTAGTAGTAGTAGAAGTAGTAGTAGGTAAAGGTAAAGGTTGCCCTTGACATTTTCAGTCCAGTCATGTCCTACTTTAGGGGGCGGTGCTCATCCCGCTTTTCAAGCCGTAGAGACAGCGCCTGTCCGAAGACAGTTCTCCGTTGTCACGTGGCCAGCGTGACTAGGGAACGCCATTTTCCCTTCCCACCGAGATGGTACCTATTTATCTACTCGCATTTACATGCTTTCGAACTGCTAGGTTGGCGAGGAGCTGGGACAAAGCGATGGGAGCTCACTCCGTTGCGTGGATTCGATCTTACAACTGCTGGTCTTCTGACCCTGCAGTATAGGCTTCTGCAGTTTAGCCCACAGCGCCACCACGTCCCTGAGATTAGTAGTAGTAGTAGTTTTATTTATATGCCACATTTCTCCCAACAACGGACCCAAAATGGTTGAGTGACTAAAGTTCCTTCTGTGGATAAGAGCCCTTCCAGTTTGTTTGGGAGTGTTTGCTTTGGCTCTGTATAAGACTCGTTTATTGGTGTGTCTGCCTTATTTATAGAAGTTGGCACCAGTTATTTGAGGCTTTGAAGCAATCATGGTTAGTCCCAGCTCTTTAGAACTGTCTGTTGTAACTTTGATGGTGTCTATAGCTGCAGCTGCTTCAAAGAAGGATGCATCCTGACCACCTGAAGGAATGCGGGTATGCACGAATAATGTGTACTTATGCAAAGCACCTTCTATCCATACAGTCATTTTTTAGAATCCTATAATTTTAATGGAATGGCAAATCCTTAAAAAGGCAAATGTCACTTAATTTGTTAAAAAAGAAGTACAGATAATCATTTCATGATTCTGAATTTGTTATCTTCTGGACTAATCCATGAACCCCCTGTGCTGGAAAAGAAAAGTCGGACACGAAGAATTGGACATGACTTAACGACTAAACAACAACAGACTGGAATCTGAAAAAACAGACTAACAAACAAATCATGTTATTCTCTAGCTTGCAGGGACATAGACAAATGTTCACTGATGGGTGTGTACTTAATTGAAATGCATTCCTTTCAGAAATACTGACTTTAAAAGAAGTTTTCCAGATCTCAAGCAATGGTAAGTAAGCCTTCAGATTTTATGACAGGTCTGTTGCAAATAGCAAGGTTTTTTTTTTTTTTTTTTTTTTTGAGCTATTTACAAAGCTTTGAGTCCCTTCCCTGGGAGAAAGGTGGGGTATAAATTAAATACATAAGTTAGTTTTGAAGGGCAGGAAGGATTAAGCTCAATCCTCTATCTAGTTCCAGATATTTGTTTTGCTGTCTTGTTTGCTAGCTTTCCGAAACCTAGTGCCCTTCAAACAGGTTCACTTATGAAACCCATGAGATAAGGTGTGTTTAGTGTCAAATATTTTAACTTGCTTTTTCAAACTTTGCAATATTTACATGGGATGTAACATAGCTTCAATTATTTGTAGTAAATCAAAAAAAGCTAAAACAGCAGAATCATCTGATTTGCTGTCTTGTTTTATAATTGCAATATGTGTTTATGGCATTCCATTATTTAAAAAAGTCTTAAGGTTAATAAACCAACAAACACAATATTACAGTTACAATATGAAAATATTTAATATAAGTAATTGCTGCTAAGTGCAATATAACTTTTTTTGCAGATCATGATGCTGCCATTAGCAGATATAGCCGACTGTCCAAAAAGAGAGAGAACGAGAAGGTTAGAGAAAGTTTAAATGCAGTTGTTACGTTTCATGTTACAGAATGACTTTAACAGCTTAAATGACAGTCATATTTGATGCTTTTAAAAATGATTCACATCTAAGTATTGTAAAGAAAACAAAGCTTTTTTTCCACATGGCATTATTATGTGGACTTTTTTTAAAAAAGGCTTTTCTAAAGTTAAATGTGTGGATATAAGTCAATATGTATGTGTGTGAGAGAGAGCATTTTGGTGGGGAGAAGAGGGGGATGTTTTATTCTCATATCCTCTTAAGATCATAAAATAATTGCTGCTTAATAAAGAGTCATTTATTACATTTCTTGTTACATGGCAAAATGTAATTCAAAATCTTGAATTAGAAATTCTGTATCTCTTCAGGTTAAATATGAAATAACAGAAGATGTATATACTTCCAGAAAGAAACAACATCAGACTATGATGCATTATTTCTGTGCATTAAATACCCTGCAATATAAGAAGAAAATTGCCATGTTAGAACCCTTATTAGGATACATGCAAGCTCAGGTAAATATCTGTTTAAATGGCCGTTCTGAAATGAGACATTTGAAGTTTATGTCCCAAGTTCACTAGATGTAGCAGGATACAGGAGAAATTGTGATGGTGCCCCTAAATGGCTCCCATCTGTTGACCAATTAGATCATCATATGTTAATAAAACACTTTTGAAGTGGATGCTGATACAAGAGAGCACTGTTTTTCTTGTGTGCTAAATTTTCATGGCGTCCATATGCATCTTATTTCTGGGAACAAGTGGTGAGGTAGCAGAAAGAATTAAGGGAGAGCATTTTTGAAAATATTTGTTATTCCAGTATTACTCATATAGCACCAGAAAAGCTAGTTATAAATCTATCTCCGTCCAGGCAGATAAACTGAGGGGAGTGAACCTACTTGTCCTTTCTGAGAGCAATATTTGTATATCGTTTCGTTCGTTTAGTCGTGTCCGACTCTTCGTGACCCCATGGACCAGAGCACACCAGGCCCTCCTATCTTCTACTGCCTCCCGGAGTTGTGTCAAATTCATGTTGGTTGCTTCGCAGACACTGTCCAGCCATCTCATCCTCGGTTGTCCCCTTCTCCTCTTGCCATCACACTTTCCCAACATCAGGGTCTTTTCCAGGGAGTCTTTTCTTCTCATTAGATGGCCAAAGTACTGGAGCCTCAGCTTCAGGATCTGTCCTTCCAGTGAGCACTCAGGGTTGATTTCCTTTAGAACTGATAGGTTTGTTCTCCTTGCAGTCCAGGGGATTCTCAAGAGCCTCCTCCAGCACCACAATTCAAAGGCATCAATTCTTCGGCGGTCTGCTTTCTTTATGGTCCAGCTCTCACTTCCATACATCACGACAGGAAAAACCATAGCTATGACTATTCGGACTTTTGTTGGCAAGGTGATGTCTCTGCTTTTCAAGATGCTGTCCAGATTTGTCATCGCTTTCCTCCCAAGAAGAAGGCGCCTTTTAATTTCAGGGCTACTGTCTCCATCTGCAGTGATCATGGAGCCCAGGAAGATAAAATTTGACACTGCCTCCATATCTTCCCCTTCTATTTCCCAGGAGGTGATGGGACCAGTGGCCATGATCTTAGTTTTTTTGATGTTGAGTTTCAGACCATTTTTTGCACTCTCCTCTTTCACTCTCATTACAAGGTTCTTTAATTCCTCCTCACTTTCTGCCATCAGAGTGGTATCATCTGCATATCGGAGGTTGTTGATATTTCTTCCGGCAATCTTAATTCCGGCTTGGGTTTCTTCCAGTCCAGCCTTCCGCATGATGTATTCTGCATATAAGTTAAATAAGCTGGGGGACAATATACAGCCTTGCCGTACTCCTTTCCCAATTTTGAACCACTCAGTTGTTCCATGACCAGTTCTAACTGTTGCTTCCTGTCCCACATATAGGTTTCTCAGGAGACAGATAAAGTGGTCAGGCACTCCCATTTCTTTAAGAACTTGCCATAGTCTGCTGTGGTCCACACAGTCAAAGGCTTTCGCATAGTCAATGAAGCAGAAGTAGATATTTTTCTGGAACTCTCTGGCTTTCTCCATAATCCAGCGCAAGTTAGCAATTTGGTCTCGAGTTCCTCTGCCTCTTCGGAATCCAGCTTGTACTTCTGGGAGTTCTCGGTCCACATACTGCTGAAGCCTACCTTGCAGGATTTTGAGCATAACCTTGCTAGCGTGCGAAATGAGTGCAATTGTACGGTAGTTGGAGCATTCTTTGGCACTGCCTTTCTTTGGGATTGGGATGTAGACTGATCTTTTCCAATCCTCTGGCCACTGTTGAGTTTTCCAAACTTGCTGGCATATTGAATGTAGCACCTTAACAGCATCATCTTTCAAGATTTTAAATAGTTCAACTGGAATGCCATCACCTCCACTGGCCTTGTTGTTAGCCAGGCTTTCTAAGGCCCACTTGACTTCACTCTCCAGGATGTCTGGCTCAAGGTCAGCAACTACATTGTCTGCATTGTCCGGGATATCCAAATCTTTCCGATATAATTCCTCTGTGTATTCTTGCCACCTCGTCTTGACGTCTTCTGCTTCTGTTAGGTCCCTCCCATTTTTGTCTTTTATCATGTTCATCTTTGCGCAAAATGTTCCTCTAATATGTCCAATTTTCCTGAACAGATCTCTGGTCTTTCCTTTTCTGTTATCTTCCTCTATTTCTTTGCATTGTTCATTTAAGAAGGCCCTCTTGTCTCTCCTTGCTATTCTTTGGAAGTCTGAATTCAAGTTTCTGTAACTTTCCCTATCTCCCTTGCATTTTGCTTCCCTTCTCCTCTCTGCTATTTCTAAGGCCTCGTTGGACAGCCACTTTACTTTCTTGCATTTCCTTTTCTTTGGGATGGTTTTCGTTGCTGCCTCCTGGACAATGTTACGAGCCTCTATCCAAAGTTCTTCAGGCACTCTGTCCACCAAATCTAGTTCCTTAAATCTGTTCTTTACTTCCACTGTGTATTCATAAGGGATTTGGTTTAGATTATACCTGAGTGGCCCAGTGGTTTTTCCTAATCTCTTCAGTCTAAGCTTGAATTTTGCTATGAGAAGCTGATGATCAGAACCGCAGTCAGCTCCAGGTCTTGTTTTTGCTGACTGTATAGAGCTTCTCCATCTTTGGCTGCAGAGAATATAATCAATCTGATTTCGATATTGCCCATCTGGTGATTTCCATGTATAGAGTCGCCTCTTGTGTTGTTGGAAAAGAGTGTTTGTGATGACCAGCTTATTCTCTTGACAAAACTCTATTAGCCTTTGTCCTGCTTCGTTCTGAACTCCAAGGCCAAACTTCCCTGTTGTTCCTTTTATCTCTTGGCTCCCTACTTTAGCATTCCAGTCCCCTAGAATGAGAAGAACATCTTTCTTTGGTGTCAGTTCTAGAAGGTGTTGTAAATCTTCATAGAATTGTTCAATTTCAGTCTCCTCAGCAATGCTGGTTGGTGCATAAACTTGGATTATTGTGATGTTGAAAGGTCTGCCTTGGATTCGTATTGACATCATTCTATCATTTTTGAGATTGTATCCCATTACAGCTCTTCCCACTCTTTTGTTGACTATGAGGGCTACTCCATTCCTTCTACGGGATTCTTGCCCACAATAGTAGATATGATAATCATCTGAGCTGAATTCGCCCATTCCTGTCCATTTTAGTTCACTGATGCCCAGGATGTCAAAGTTTATTCTTGCCATCTCCTGTTTGACCACCTCCAGCTTCCCAACGTTCATAGATCTTACATTCCAGGTTCCTATGCAGTATTCTTCTTTGCAGCATTGGATTTTCCTTTCACTTCCAGGCACGTCCACAGCTGAGCGTCCTTTCGGCTTTGGCCCAACCACTTCATTAGCTCTGGAGCTACTTGTACTTGTCCTCCACTCTTCCTCAGTAGCATGTTGGACGCCTTCCGACCTGAGGGGCCCATCTTCCAGCGTCATATCTTTTAGCCTTTTGTTTCTGATCATGGGGCGTTCTTGGCAAAGATACTGGAGTGGCTTGCCATTTCCTACTCCAGGTGGATTGCGTTTAGTCGGAACTCTCCACTATGTCCTGTCCCTGCACGGCATAGCCCATAGCTTTTCTGAGTTACTCAAGCCCCTTCGCCACGACAAGGCAGCAATCCATGAAGGGGAATATATTGTATATAAACACAGATTAACCACCATACAGTTTGTTCTGTTGTGGTTTTCCAGTCTTATACTTAACGGTGGTGGTGGTGTTAGTTTAACCGGGGTGGTGGTGTCTTAGTTTATTGAAAATCTAATTTCGTATTTTACAGAACTTCTTAAGAGAAAATTGTAGATGTTTGGTCAAGTCCCTCTTTACATGGTTTCCTCGTGTGATTGTTAATGTTCTTTTGCAGTATCTTAAAAGTCTTACTCCAGAACAGAATCTTAAATTCAATTTGTAATAAGAAAATGATTGCTAAATCACTGAATTATCTTTTTTAAAAGATAAACTTCTTCAAGATGGGCTCAGAAAATCTTTCTGAACAACTAGAAGAATTTTTAACAAATATTGGGACAAGTGTGCAAGAGTAAGTTAGCTTTCCTCTCATTAAAACCAATAGCATCTTTAACAGCATTTACTGTTAGTGTAAATTGACCTGTGTGTTTTAGAGTTCGCAGGGAAATGGATCGTGAAGTAGAGACAATGCAGCAGACTATAGAAGATTTGGAGATAGCCAGTGACCCTCTGTATTTGCCTGACCCTGATACCACAAAATTTCCGGTCCAGAGGAACCTTACTCGAAAAGCTGGCTATCTCAATGCAAGAAAGTAAGAACCCATTTCTTCTGTGCAAAAGTTTGAACAGCCTGGGTTGCTGCAAGCTGTGTGGTAATTACAAATAAGGCAGCCAGGTATCTTGGGCCTCAGGGGTTTGCTTTATTGCCACGCTATAATGAAGCATGTTGCAATTGTTACAGACAAATTGTTTGAAATAATAAAACTACAGCTTATAACATTTAATTCAGGGACATGATTTAAAAAAAAAAGATGTGGGAAAGCAGAATTCTGCTTAACAGTAAAAGTATATATTTAAGTGCCTATGTTGATATGCTAGGAAATGGCTAAATTGCAAGGTTGAAATGTTAGTGCTGATTTTTCTGTCCAGCGTGGTAGAGCTTTGTGATGATGCTTTGTTAAAATGGCATCAACCACTTTCTTAGTCCAGTTTTTCACATTTATTTATAGTATTTTCACTATTCTGTTCACTAATGATATCAACCACTTTTAGTCCAGTTTTTCACATTTATTTACAGCATTTTCACTATTCTGTTGTTCTTTAAAGAATTTGGGATGATGTAGTTAGTTTGCCCCCCCTGCCCCCCAGTTCAGGTTAGGTTAAGGTGATAATTGGGCCAAATTCACTCAAGAGAGTGGCTGTTTGATTTCCAGTCCAGTAGTATCCGGCACCCATCACTAATTTACCAAGTTTGCATAGCTAATCTTATCCATAAAATCTCTTGTATTAATTTTTTGGGCATCTGGTTACTGGATTGTATTTTATTTTATTCATTACTTTCTGTACTTTCAAGGAGCTTTAAACCAATAGTACACCTGTTGTACACTCCTGACTCTCAGATGCTTTCTGAGTTTGCTTTTGTAGTGAGCTTCGTAGTATTCTAGTGCTCCTTGAAAGTGGGATGGAATGGTTAGATAGCCACAGCAAAGGAGCTTTGTCTCCTTTGTAACCAGAAAATAGATTATTTTTGTTGGTTGATTTCTGCCTTTGTTTCATTATCCAAACTTTCCTCTGTATATTTAATAGACTTAATGAGTTTTTTTGTTGTCCAAGACCAGCTTCTTTATAGACTTCTTCCATTAAGATTTCTAATAATAATA